TTAAAGTTTACACCTTAGCGCCATAGGCCCATAGGGCCATAGCGCCTTAGTTCCTTAGCGGCAGGCAGCTTCCATAACCATCCCAATAGTGCACTCTGCACTAGAAAGTACTCCTCTTTCAGCCTAACACCCACTCCCTAGGACACCTTTACGTCTCTCCCCAAGTCTCTTCCGAGTTCGAATCCAAGATGGCGCTCTCTTGGTCAAAATGCGCTCGATCGCTCGCCAAAATACGCCTGCATTGCAGGCTGTACACATCCGTATTGGTGATTCCCGCGAAAGTCGTCTCGGTTAATTGTATACGCGTTATAGGGCTGTCAATCAAGAGGGAAACTGCTACTTCCGGTGATAACGTAAAACCTCCATTGCTCCGTCAATAGTTAGTCTTTTTCCATTTTTTTCAGAAATTAGGGATTACTCTTCGACCATTACTTTGATCCAAAAATCCAAACTTGAAGAAAGTTGCCGATCTGAAGGTATGCGGTAACCTTGTCTCTATCATTACTGACAACTGACAGATTACTCCAATTTTTAACTTGTACTATTCATGTTTTGATCTCAATATGTTTTCTGACAACTTACATATGTCTCCAAATAATTGTAATCGAGAAATTATGTTCTGGTATGAGGTTTGGTAGATCAACAATTATCAATGGACTTCAAATTTTGTTGACAAATCATGCGTGTATCTCGACTTACAACACCAAACAGATAACCTCAAATTGTAACTGAGAAATCTTTTACCGATCTAAACATGTTTCTTTTAACAATTTATGGATCACTGAAATCAGGGAAAAAGCAGTCAGCTTCCTTTACATATTCCGAAATGAGAAAGAGATCTTCTTTTTTGTATGGTGAAAGCCAAACTGGTTGGCAAACATCAGCTGAACTGTGTAATTCATGAGACAATTAGAACTAGATAACTACTCGAGTGAAGATATTGTTTCCCTACTCTGCACAGTAGACAAAATAAGAAACAAGATACCTGAACAGAGTCAATGTTTTAGCGGTCGCAAGCTTTTGACGCTAAAACATTTTTTTTTTTTTTTTAGATCCGGATTCAAGGTTGGTTTTGTCGCAACATGGAAGGCTTCATGTGGTAAGCCTTGAGACTGCTTCACGAGATACACAAACCCTCAACTTGTCGCGAAATGT